CTCATGTCCCAGCTAAATAACTCAGTCTGGAGCACAAAGACCACAGAACGAAGTGCCAGTAACAATTACATGCAACCTTTCCCAAATAACTGCCATAACATTCACAGCTACCCCTTGCCAAGTAACTGGAGTGAACAGCGGTGCACCGCAGCTCTTTGGGAGATAAGCAAGAGTCCCACAGTCCACACTGGCAGACTGCAGAAGAGCAAACCACTGCTTGTTCCTGGATTTTGTACCATACTCATGTACCAGTGACGCAGCATCATTATGGGTTTGGATAACTGAAGAGTTTTCTGTGTTAACACTGTCCGTGACACCTTCCTCAGTTAGTCACAGGAGTTTGAAGAATACAGTGTTTCTTTCACCCTTTTTTTTTTTCCAATTCAAATAACAGCAGCCAAACTTTTATGCCAGAAGATTAAATGTTTGAGAATTAATTCCCGAGGTCTTTTTCTAATTTCAGTATGAACAATGCAGCCAAAGTTGTGTGAGAGTCTTGAAAGATGGCCAATTTGCTCATGTGCCATATTTTAATAACAGCCTAAACCTGTTGGTGTAATATTTCCTTGAAAGTGGCAGCTAAAAACATCTTCTGAAAAAATCTTGATACAAATCTGTAAACAATACAAAAAAATTCTTAAACATTTGTGAGAGGGAAAGGGACTGAATTCATTCTACTGTAGAGGCAGCTTAATACAATCATGTATTAGAAACAGAAGAAAAACACAGCCTAACTTTTAAAGTATAGCATAGGAAGTAGTGCAAGTTCATCATCAGTGAAGTAATATAAATTAATTAAATTAATCTTCTGAATCATGTAACTTAAGAAAATGAAGCAGCAAAGAATTCATGAGGTTTTTGATCTCTCCAGTGGAGGGAGTCTGATTTAGTCATCTGCTCTGTGAGACTTTCCAGCCAAAAGTCCTTCTAATGCAGCACCTCACTTAAAACCGTTGTTAATCAGCATAGGTAAACTGATGGAAATTGCTCTTCTCCTGTTCCAGCATGAGAGATTCATGGAGAAGAGTAAAGTTACCATTCGGAAGTAATCACCTTCCTTCTGTTACCAGCCTCTTGTTTCTCCCAGTAATTCCAATAGTCTTCCTAAAATAAAATGTATAGCCAAAATAGAGCTGCCTGTCAAGTTTTTAGCTCAGTAATATTACTGCTTTCTTATACAGCAAAGGAGTTGCATGTATTGGTAATGCTTCACCCTTGAGAACCTGTGCATCTAATTTTCAAAAACAACTTGTTCCCAACTTTCGTTTTAATGCTGCTTGGATTTGCTTCCTTGTAGTGAATGTTCTACTGTGATTACGGGAAGATGGAGATTGAATCCCAGTGGTTTTTTGAAAGCGTTGAAGGCATTTTTCATGTATGTGCTTCAGGACAATGCAAAAATTGTTCAACTGTCTACTTCTCTGTCTGAGTTTCCTTGAAGTTTAATCTCAGTTTGGATTTCCTGAGAGCGTGATGATTATTCCTATGATAATTATATAAAAATGGAATATTTTGTTCTTTAATGACTGGTGTATACACAATCTCACCTGTGACTTAATATTACTTTGTATTAGAGGACTTGAGTTTTTACAATGAAAGAATTTTTATGTATACAGTCTAAATAAATATATTGAAGAAAAATTTTGCACTTCAATGGCTCTTTGGAGATACATACTGTGAACTATGTTCCTGCACATTGTTGGGATAGGTTTTGTAGCTCTGGTTGCTCTTTGGTGCTTTGGAGCAGTGTGAAACAGTGAGCACCCAGCACCTGTGATTATCAGTGATTTCTTGCAGTGCCAGGCCAAGTAAGGGCCAGCACTGAGGCTCAGAGACCTTGGAAGTGATGAAGAAAACAGATCTTAGTAGCTGCAGGAAGCTCAGCTTTGCACTTGGGCAGGTGGACACTTGTTTCTGACACTTGTAAGAAATGGAAACTTCTATACGAAGGGCCAAAATCACCAACTCCATGTCTTTCAGAAGAGCAAATAACATTAATTACAGCAGAAACAGAGTCTGAGAAACAGATATTTTCTTTCCATCCTTTCTTTCCCAATTCCTTCCATCCTTCCACCCTTCCTCTCACCACTATTCACACTCGATGGCTACATCCCCATTGAGTAAATAAACCAAGAGCACGGCATGATTTCCATCACCTGTTCCATTCTGGCAGTTAGCAGCATGGAGGCCAGCCCTGCAGAAGGAGCTGCCTGTCTGGGAGGGCAGTCTGGGTGCAGTCACTAGGGGCTGTGGAGGAAGGGAGTGGAGATGTATGGATACAAGATAAACCAGGATGCTTTGCCGTAACAATATTGAATAGCCTTGGGCATCTTTAATTTAGTAGTGTAAATGTAGCTATTGAGACTAGAAGGTACATAAAGAGGTAATTTTATATGGGATTAAGAAATAAAGTCAGCTGAATGGGAAGCAGAGTCTGTGAAAGGGTAAGTTCGTCTCAGTGAGAAATGGGAGAATACAACTATTATACATTCCCTGGAGGTAGCTAGCGCATGAGATTTCACTGATTTTTAATTTAATGCGATGTTTAAAGGTCTATATTGTTATTTAGATCAAAGAGGTTTTTATCCAAAAAGATTACATTTCATTAAAGAATTCTTATTTAATTTTTACCCCAAGTAACTATTAAATTCATTTGTATCATAGTTTTCTCTGGATGTTGAAGGCAAGTACACTATGTCATTTGCACTTAATGAAATGCTTGAAAGCAAAATTTAGTTCATAAATGAGGAAAAGGGGAGAGAAGTGACTGAATTATTTCTTAGTGAGTAGTTTGCTCTGAGAGAAAAAGTTTGCTGAAGCTAAGAAGCATGATGACGGCCGAAAATTAATTCCGGCACATGAAAAAATAAAGCATATTGCACAGTGCTTAAGCTAATTGCAATCACTAAGTTAAAACCCGTTCTGGCTTTCAGACTAGCCCAGACCAGTTGCTCCACTCTGTATTTACATTCTGCAAAGAAAAGCTGTGCAATACCTGCTCCAGCAAGCACTCAGACAGAATCCGTGTGCTAAGTTCAGTTCTTTGCTTCCAGCTTGTGGCATAGCGATATGTTTTTTGACAAGGATTATGCTCCATTTTGGAGGACAAAACATCCATCACTCAACAGCACATAAGCTGTGCAGTTAAGAAGCTTTGTAATTAAGAACCCTTGCAATTGCATTCCATAATTTATTCATAGTATCAATTACAGAATTCCTGGTAGAGGAAGTCAAACTAATTATATTTTTAAAAATTTAAATTAGTTTCTTCTGTTCAATTAAGGCAAGCCAGAAACTCTTTGGGGTACCCACACTGCCAATGGCAAATTATAATAGCTTTGCTACAGGATGATCTGATGCAGCAGCCAGTGGAAGAATGCTCTTTGCAAAACAAAAAGTCCTCTAAATCCATGTTAGCCAATTTGGCCTCAGGGAGTGATTGCTTAGCCTGCTTTTTTCCTGTAAAACACTAAATTCTGAAACTTTTAGAAACAAAACCCAAGAGCAGTATATCTCTTTCAGGATGATGAATGACCTCTGTATCCTGGATGCATAAACACAGTGATGGCTGGTAAGGTGTAGTCAGATGAGGTGTAGTCAGGGACATTCACTTTAGATACCAGCAACCCTATGTGGCTGCTGGGTCCTCCTCACTGATGCCTAAGGAGTAGGGAACAACCTTTTCCTTAAGACAGGCCCCTAGAACACATGAACTGAGGGAATGGATTCATCCTTGCATTCCCGGAGTGTAACCTAGTTGTGCGTTGATGTCCGCTCATGCAAAGCAGGTCTCTGCTGTGACTTTATAAAGCCAGTGATGGCTCAGGGCTGAATTGGTGGAGCCCATTTCACACCCCACATCACTGCTTCTCTCCCAAATGACCTGGCCCCCTTTCTTTCCCCTGTGCCAAGGACATACGATGGCATTTAAGCTTTCATCTGAAAGGAAAACTATTCTACTTACATTAGTTATTCAAAAGAAAAACAGATAGATTGCAGGGAGAATGGTGCTACCAGGAGCACTGCTGGTAGAGAGTATTGTGGGCATTTGGTGATGTAATTTCAAGTATCAGATAAAAAAAATGCTCAGTATGGCCTTCACTTGAGCCTGTTCATGCCCTGATAAAAGAGCAGTGGGCCCCAAGAACCCATCCCAGTAGTTATTACAGGACATTCCTTCACATATCCCACACAGTGAGCTGCAGCTTGCTGCATTATAAATCCAGCTGTATTTTTAGGTGCATTAGCAGTCGCCTGACTACAACTGAGACTGGTCAGAGGTCAGAGATTTGGTAAAGATTTTTTTATTCCTCCTTTCTCCTAACAACTATAAACTAATTTTCCAGATATTTCACCCAAAACCTCAGAGCTTTAACCTTCATCTCACAATTTGAAGGGCTGATTCCTTTCAGGGAATTTTCCAAGAGAATTAGTACACTGCCAAGCAGTTCACTGTATTTCCTGGTTGCCAAGTGAGTACAATACCAGATCAAGCAAAACCAACACCTTGTCTTTGATCCATTCCTCACAATACATCAGTGATGTTTGTCAGAAATTCCTAGTCTCCAGATCATTGTGTGGATGGCCAGGAAGTGAGATTCAGGCAGGAGGGTGGCTTATTTCTGCACAAAAGCAAGACTGGAGGCTACATGGTTAAAAGTTCTTGTATCCATCAGTAAGCCAACAAGGCTTTATTGTCTTCATCATATTTTCAGTTTAAGTTATGCAACTGTAGTCCAGTCATGGAAAGTGTGGTTTCTCCCAAGGATGAATTTATTCAGTTCTGGGAGTAATGAAAATTGTGCAAAATCACTCCAGTCTTCAGGCCACTGTTGTAAGGGAAATTTGGTGGGAAAGTTGTTGTAAATAAAAGTACCCCAAACAACAGTGTCTTTCCCGCATCATCATTTAGAGATTCAAAATACGTTATGAAATCACAACATAAATAAGAAAAACCTCTTATGATTCTTGAAATCTCTCTTTAACACTTTGAAGTCCCAAACAATTTGAAGAGTTTCATTGTGTTTGTGCTAGAAATGAGGAAAAAAACTGCAGGCAATTCCCTTCCATGTTCAGGCAGATGGTGCATTTTCTGAAAATAAGAAATGGAAGAATTTTTTCAAAGTAGTCATGCTTCAGATACTACAGTCACAATTTCTCCCAAGGGAAAACACCAGAGGGAAACAAAGATGTCGTAAGTATTTTGTCTTCTCTACCACTCTTTGAGAAAGGAAGGAGTAAGCACTTAATTTTATGTTTCATTTCATGCAATTAATTGAAGCTAATGATATTAAACTCACTGCCAGCAGTGTTTCAGCATGCCTGTGCTCATTTGAACCCCACACTTATGAGGCTGGATGTATGGTTTTGTTATGGTTTCCGGGCCCTGAAATAAGACAAAAATATGTAGTTTGTAAAAAAAAAAAAAGAGGTAAAAGAGGTTTAAATTTAAATTTTAGTCTTTTAAATATCTCTTCATAGCAAAACATACAGAGTTTGAGTTGTCTTTTATCTTTAGTCAGTCAGATGTAAAGTCTTCTACCAGTTGGGTCAAATATCTTGTCTCTCAGATATAGCATGTGTAACTAGGACTTGAGTAAATATTTTGTTTTCCAATTGAAAAAAAACGAGTATAAACACAACATATGGGGACTGTAATTGGACATGTCAACATGTCATTTCAGCTTCTAATTTCATCTCCAAAGTGTTAAAAACACCTGAGCAGCAATTTTCAACAATGGACTTCAGGTGTCAAGAGAAGGCCATAGCACTTAAACTTACTCATAACAGTTGTGAGTAAGTCCACAGCAATCCTTGAATGACTCTTACTGTATGGGGAAGTGCCTTGACAAAAGGTGAAGCAAAGGAGAGGTGAGACCATGCAATTATAGTGCTCTATCTTTGATCTATGTGGAAAGGAATGCCTCTGAGCTACAGACAAAGTTCTTGTATAAAACATGATTAGGCTTGAATTTAAGAGATATCAAGAAGCTCATTAAAGCTTCAAAATGTCTTTACTGAAGGTGTTTTATGCTGTAAGCTTTAACCTAAATGCATGCATAAGCTCAATTTTAAGTCTATGAGCAGTTTCTTTGAAATGAATTGAGCTGCTCCTAGACTTGGATCAGCATACAATGAAATGCATGAGGAGAATGCAAGGATAAAGTAAATTTTACAGTAGCTGCTTTTCAGCTATTTCCTAACGTTGGTTGAAGAAAAAAGACATTTATTTGCATTAAGTTATGTTTTTTTTGCTTGTATACCAAGTGGTGTAGCAAAGTCATTTGTTTGAGTTATACTCAGAGCTTGCATGGCAATAAAAGGAATTATAAAAGTTAATCTATTCTGCAACATTCTTAGAGAGGAAAGGAAGATGGATTTCATTATTATATAGCAAACCTGATAATATCTGGAAAAACAATTACTGTAAATCAACATGAATGTCTACATTTAAAGCACAAACCCTGGAAACAAAATTGTCTCCCACTTAATTTTTTTTTTTTTTTTTTTTTTTTGGGCCGTTTTCTGATGAAGTTTAAATTTGAATCTCATTCTAGGTATTAATATCAAACAACTGTTTACATTTCTTATACCAGACACACAGTGAGAGAAGAGAATGCTTTCATTATTATTCAAAGTGCTCCTTCACACCTGGAAAGAATTGCATTACTTCTTAGTTTATGCGGCTCCCAAATTTACATTATAGCTCTAGCATAGAGAGAACTCAAAGGTTATCAGTTCTCTGTGGAAGATGATTTAGGGCTGTTTGTATAGTGTAGAATGGATCTCAGTATTTTAAACCTTTTTTTTTTTTTTACTTTTAGTTTGTTAGACATTCATCTTGTCTTTCCCTTTCTGCAGGGGACCTAGATCTGCACTTGACCACACAGAAAACTCAGTGGGAACAGGAATATTCTGCTCTCTCATGAATAGTGGGTTTTCATTTTCCTTTTTTTTTTTTTTCCTCCTCCCTTGTTTCCCTTAACTCTACATTTGGTTTGGTTTCTGGCTACAATTCAATTTGAAATATTTAAGTCTTTAGGACTTCATAACCAATTTTAGCTTCCATTCAGTAATCTGTGATATTTATACCCAGTGCAAGGTATTTTCAGAAAAGCTCTCCAGTCTGGATTTTAGCTCAAAAGAACTAATGCTTTTTTTGAAGAGATCTCTGCTTTGTTTTGTCCCGACTAAGTCTCAGACATGCATATGAATAACAAGTCCCCATAGGGCTGAAAGTAGACTGCCCTTATCTGTGTTACTGAGGTGGTTGAAAATGCTCATTACGAGACAGGTCCCATTACACCAGGCACAGTGGCATACAGACAACAAAAATGTAGCGAAGTTTTGTAAGATAGCTGAAACTTTTGTTTTATAGGTCACTATGTTATCCATGCATTGTATTATACAAAAAGCTCAACTATGTTGGTTGTTGGTTTATTATCACAAAACTTCTCATCTGAAGTAACAGTAATGCCATTTATTTTATTTAACAGCAACCAGTTAATGCTAATTATCATTACTATTGAGGTTTTACTCTCAAACCAAAATGATCCTTAAGTTTTTTTTGATCATTTCTTACAAAATGCCCTGGTATGTGTTTCTGTGAAGTCTTTCATCTTGCTTAAACCCAGTCTTCATAATTATCTGAAATTTAAGGTGAGTAGTGATATCAAAGGAAAGTTCTTTACCAAGAGAGTGGTGAGGTACTGGAACAGGCTGCCCAGGGAGATTGTGAATGTCCTGTCCCTGGAGGTGTTCAAGGCCAGGTTGGATGGGGCCATGTGCAGCCTGGTCTAGTATTAGGTATGGAGGTTGGTGGCCGTGTGCATGACGGGGTTGGAGCTCTGTGATCCTTGAGGTCCCTTCCAGCCCAAGTCATTCTGTGATTCTATCATGCTATTTATCCCACTGTTTTACTGGAGGTCTCATCAGACCAGTAAAATCTCTTATAAAGTTCAGTTTTTCCTCTTTGGCTCCCATAGCACACCTTTCATTTCTAAAAACCAAAGCTTGACGTCACAGAAGAAAGCACCAAGTCAGACTGAGAGTTGATCTGAAGCATCTTGTGTGACTCTATGACATTTCTGCCACAAATCAGTTCCTTCAACATGGTATCCAGTATGCTCAGAAGAATAGATTAATGATATCTTCATAGTCACTGAACTTCTGGCCTGAACAAATACCCCTTGACTAACACACTGTGATAGCTTTTATTACATCGGTGTGAGTAATATGTGAAAGAATCTCTCAAATATACTAAATCAGAGACACAAAATTCTCACTTAGATGTAAGAGTTCACACATTACTTCATTTGTACTGAGACAAAGATAAATGGAACAAATAGTGTAAATTAGCTTTGCAGTCCAGTAGTTCTGTGATTGCGAGGTTATGAAAGCCACCTCTAAACATGACACTTTGTTTTTCAAAACATTTATTTTTCACGTGTTGTGACATTAAGTTAAAGCACATCAGCATCTCAGTCCCACTGTGGCACGCTATTCCAGCAGGACCAGGTATTTATAATTATCCCATTAAATACTGTTCTTCTCTTTAAGGATTTTATCCTAAGATACTTACACATCTTGTTTTGGCAAATAATTTGTTGGGCCAGAGGAAAAAACACATGGTTTTGTATTCACAAAGCATCTTAAGTTCCAGTTTCAGATTAATTTTTCCTGTGTTTGAAATACAAACATTAACTCATGATGGAGTAAAAATGCAGATTTGTTTTTTATTTTAGACATACTAAGTATGAAGGCAGGCCCCGTGTGATTGGGCATTTGTGTAAGCTTTTGCCTCTTTGCTATGCTTTCGCTGGTCTTAAAGTTTCCAATCCAAATTCAATCCAGACTCTGGAATAGTCTGTATGTTGTAAGTAGTCTGTGTGACCTATGAATAGTGCTGGTTTGAAGCGAAGAAGGACAAGATACTCAAACAAAGATAAAATTCTTTGTTTGGCAGTGGCTTCCTGTAAATAAACATACAAGCAAACAAAAAATGTCTGCCTTTGGGATTGCCCACTGTCAAACTGAATCCTAAAGTTATGTGTGTACTAAGTTCTATCACAGGAAAACTTTTCCTTATATAAGGAAGAACTATGTCTTATATTTCATCGTGGGAGGAGAGTGAGTGGTAGACAGTGTTGCAGAAATCACACACTGTCTAACTGGGGATGTACATATACAGGTAGTTATCTGACCTTGTTCATGAGATGTCTAATATTGCATTGTGTTTAATGAACTCGTTTTCATCCTTGTGATGAACATGCATCTTTGCCTACGTTACAGTGGGGACATTTGCATGTGGGGCTGTATAGGTTCATTGTAAGCCTTTAAGGGCATTGAGGTAATTGGAAACTGCCAGCACTGGGATTAAGTGGGAATTTAGGTCAAGTGAATCCACGCCTTACCAAAAGGAGAGATTTTACAGGTTTTGAAACAGGAGGATGTTACAACACTGGAGTATTTGCATGGATGCAGCCTTATCAGCATAACACGAGCTTTATGCCAATGGCTCCTCCAGAGCCAAGCCAAGGGCAGCAAGTAAGAGCTGTCGGTTCCTTCTAGTCCTTATGCTACTTTCCCAGCTACAAAGGATGGGCAGTAGTTATACATACATAGGATGTGAAAATATTTCTCAAAAAGCAAAGTGGCACATTAGACGTAGAAATACTAACATAGAATTTGCTGTAAATTACTTGGGGTATATTTGTGCTTAGAAATGTCAGTGTGGGACAGTACCATCAGAATGAACAGTACTTCATCATAGTCCCTGGCCAGCTGTGCCTTAACACAGAGCTCCAACTGCTGAGCATGAAACCTATAAAGCATGCAGCAGGGTACACGTCAGCTCTCGAGGCTGCAGTTCTTCTGATTTCCATGGGATATGTTAAACCTTCAGGGCTCACTGACATTCAGTTAAAAGAATTAAAACAGCTCATGAAATATGGGATTGTATAAACACAGTTTGAAGATGCTCTGTTTGAAATTATGGCCAAGGCAGACATTACAAAATGCCCTTCCTTCCCCTCAGCCTGTGCATCAGCCTGGCAGTCCTGACTTCCGCAGGGCCATTCCCAGCCTCCGGATGCTTTTGATCCCACTTCTAAAATGGTTCTCATCAAGTAGGGCAATCAAGTCTGCTTAATTACGAAGAAGAGAACGGGGAAACAAAGAAAAGGTAAACGTTGTGCCACATTGAGGTCAGAAAACTCACATTCATGAGCAACTACTCTGAAGTTGCTCATAATGTGGGTACAAGGTTTGTGGGAGTGAAGACAGCACCTGACAGCTGGTGCAGATTTCCTGTCCTAGGGCTGGAGGGAGTACGAGGGTGATTGATTCAATGAGATTTAATACAAGATTACAGTGCTTTGTAATCTGTTGTGTCTTAGGGCTGGAGGGTGTCGCTGTTAAACTGCCTAGCAATATATTTTAATTCAGCTTTTGCATGGAGACGATAGATTTCTGATCTTTTCATTTTCTACTTCTTTGTAATATTCACATCACCGATTTCTTATGAACAAAAGTTATACTTCATATCACAACCAAAGGCATACAAGATTCAGTGGGCAAAAACTGTTAAATCATCTGGAGGACCTGAATAACAAAATCTCATTACTTACAATGGAAATTGAGCAGTATGACCACACAGAAAGCTGATCCATTAAAGTATTTTTTGCTGATTATCTAGGAATGTGGAGGCATGGCATACAGCCTTTGTTTGCAAGATTTTAGCTCGCTGCACACAATATTAGGTTTATTTAAGCTATTTATACTGGTTATGACTGCAAA